CAAGGAAGGCATAGCCACTAGAGCAGGGTGATGAGCCGAATCAATAGAAGCTAGCAACTGGAAAGGAAAAAAGCTACGGCGAGACTGAAGGAGGGAACAGCTAAACAAATCCTTGAAATGGGTAAGGATATTAGCCTTAATACTGTCAACCTCATAAACCCAAACATCATTAGAATTTTTCAAAGCGAAGATTTTGTTATGTTTGCGGTGAGAAATGGTGGTTTGGTGAAAATATTTGGTATTCCTATCCCCATCAAGAGTGAAGTTAACTCTACTTTTGAGCGCCCAAAATTCCTCCTCAAGACGAAGAATACGAGTATAATCGGAAATAACAGACTCTTCAAGGCGGAGTAAAAACTGGAAAGGACCCGAATCCAGTGATTTTTGGATGCCTAAAATTCTGTTAGCAAGTTTTCTCTTCTGGAAGAAAATGTTACCAAAAGTATTTCGGTTCCAAATCGTAACTTTGTCGACAAACATCTTGGCCCCTTGAAGGAAAGGGCTAGAGTCAGTCCAACTCTCGGACACCACAACACTGAGGGAGGGATCAGATAGCCAAATGGTTTCAAACCGAAAGGGTCGAGCCATCCTAGGAGGGGGACGTGAGTGTGCAAAACGATGGAGCAGTGATCCGAATGGAGTTTAGGGAGGTGAAGGGTTTTATTATTAGGAAAAAGTTGGGCCCAACTCTCATTACAAAGACTTCTATCCAATCTTTCACTAATGAAACAACCTGAATGTCTGCAATTATTCCAAGTGAACCGAGGCCCAGAGAAGCCCATATCAATTAACCCACAATGGTCTAAGCAATCCTTGAACAGTAATGCTCTTCGAGTATCAATAGGTTGGCCTCCAAATTTCTCTGTACTAGTCAGAATTTCATTAAAGTCCCCCATTAACAACCAAGGTAGATTATGGGAGTTAGCAAAAAAATTGAGGTTTTCCCAAAGTAATTTCCTAAGATTAAAATGAGGGCTAGCATAAATGGCAAAAAAAAGCCAAGAAGAAGGTTGAGAAAGAACTTGGATACACGCGTAGATCTCCTGATGCGTGACCGAGAGAACGCCGCAATGGATCTCAAGACTATTCCAGAGTAACCAAATACCACCAGCAAAACCAACTGGTTCAGCAATATGAAAATTAGGGAAACCCAAACTCTTGCAAATATTTGTACCTCAGTCTCCACCAACCCGAGTTTCAGTAATGACAACAAGGTGGGGGTGATGTTCCTCCATCAAACTACGGAAATGCCTTCAGAAATGGGGGTTGGCCGCCCCTCGCCAGTTCCAAAAAAATGCCTTCATTGGAGACTTAAAGAAGGGGAGTGGAGGGAGTGCAAACTTCTCATTTTTCAGCACCTCCTCCTCCTATGAAATCCATTCTGGGCTCAGAACTTCTGCTCCTGCGGTGTGAAGATTTGGGAGCAGCTAAATCGTGTGTTCGAAAGCCCGATTTTCTTGCGTAATGTAAAAGTTGGCACTAATGCTTAGTCGTTGGAGCAATGGAGAAGCCTCTACCAATATTGCCTGGTTGAGATAACCCCAGAGAGTAATCTCCCATGGAATTGAGGACAGGTGCAACCGGCCTGTTAACGGTAAGAGTGGTGCAGGGAGAAAAGTCTCCTCCACCAGTGGGTTTAACACCGGCTGGCTGTTTGAGAGCAGTCCCAGACTGGGCATGACCACTTGAGTCATCTAGATCAGTTGTCGAGGGAAGTCTGTTGCATGAGTGAATGAGGTTGACAGGAATGTGACAATCGCAGTTTGGCGATGCAGCAGATGGGATGATAGGGATAGAAATAGAGAGAGACTCATCCATATGTTCATTATTTCCGGATCGTACCATCCCAGTACGAAAGGTTGGGTCCCGCTGGAGCATTTCAAGCAGGCGATCGTCCACTCTGGAGTACCCTGCTATTGTCTCCATAAACCAACCGAGTTGGGTCTGACCCTCTACATTGTTCAAACGGAAGGGAAGGGTTTGTTCTGAGTGGGAACTGGATGGTTGGATGAGGTTGTTGTGGGAGGTTCTGGAGTGAAAGGTGGGCATGGTGAAGGTTTGAGAGAGAGTGTACAGAGAGGAAAGAGATGGTGTGGGCAGAAGTAGACGAAGGTGATAAAGATTCAAAATGCACACTGGTCGAAGTGGTGATGGGACAAAGCAAAGAGATGTGTAGACGAGGCACAGGGGGGTCAGATGCTGTAGTGGCAGGCTGGGATGTACCAGGTTGTAGGTCTGCAGCAGGGTGTAAGACTTCTGAAGAGTGGAGGATACTAGGAACGGTTTCCAAATGGGGAATAGAGCAGTCTTTAAGGCAATCAAAAGGGTTAACGTGTAAGGGGATGTGTGATGAAGGGTTGCTATCAACATTAATTGTCGAAGTTTGTTGAGGCAGTAGGGGGACAGCCTGGTCTTGGACAACTGGCGCCAAAATTGAAAACTGGTGTCCTTTCTCGTCCTGACTGGTTTGGTTCGCTGGTTGTTCTGTTTCTCCAGCACCAGTTTCTCTAACTATTTGCCCTTCCTCTAGACCAACATCCAAGGACCAAAAGTATCACAAGATGAGGAGGAGGGAGTGGCAGTACCTAATTTTCCAGATGATTGATTAGTTTAGACCTGCGATGGGCACTCGCTGGACTTGTGTCCAATCATGCCACAGTGAAAACAAATGGCGTTAATGCCTTCATAAGCAATTTTGATAAGGATGGACCCCACTAACAATTTGGCTATGAGTGGTTTGCCCAAATCTATCTGCACACATAGTCTAGAAAATCTACCTCTATCTCCATTCTCAGTGTGGAAGTCAACCTTTAGGACCTTTCCCAACTTGATACCGATCCGCCGAAGAATCTGATGGTCATAATATTCACTAGGCAGACTATGGAGTCTGACCCACACCACTGTAGTTGAAAAACTTGCCTTCTCCGGTTGAAAGTCGAGTTCCCAGCAACGAATCGCAAGGAAATTCTTGCCTACAAACCAAAGGCCTTCATTCAATACCTTATTCAGGTCGGCCGCATCTTGGAATTTCATAAGAAAGAAATGGTTGCCCAGATCGATACCGAAAAAGGTACTATTTAGTTTCCAGATGTTCTTGAGTCTGTCCATCAGGTACGTATAACCCAAACTCCGGCCCATGAGCTTCACAATGAGTGAGTTCTGCCAGGGGTTACGGATTCTATCAATCTCTTCCTTCGACAGAGCAATGGAAGGTACGGAAGTATCGGAGTCTGAAACCTCCTCAACGACAACATTCGGGAGTAAATCTGGTTGTTCCGAATAGCTTATCAGGTGAAATGGAGAAGAGAGAGCTTCCTTGAAGGAGCGATTAACAGAAACAAGACCATCCAAATTCTTCCCCTTCTTCCTGCTATGACATTCCAGTAGATCCTCTTCCTCCATAGATTTCTTAGCATCGTTACCCTCCTCTTGGTCGTGCTGCTGGTTGGTTACAGTAGAATAGTTGATTGTCCCTGTGCTGTCCTCCGGTCTCCGAGCTGGTGAACCACCGTGTTCCGCATCCATTTTGTCTTTGTCTTGTTTCTCATGGGAGTTTTGCTCCATTGGAGTTTGTGGTCCATTGGAGTTGGACCACAAGCCTGATGTTGCCACGTCATTGCAGAGATCATATTGTCAATGTCCCATGTTTAATGCATTTTTAATTATCCAATTGTGTAAAATTTTGAGTTATATATGTAAATTTTGAGGTATAACTTAATAATAGAAAAACTACAATTCAGTCTATTTTTTAAAAAATAATTACAATAGATCAAAAAGCTTATATTTTTAATTATTAATATTTATCAAGTTTATCGTTAATTAATATATATATATATATTATTTATTTTATTTTAATTTTTGTAAATATCACTTATTTGATATTTCTCCTTTCATAATTGTTTGCATTGTACTTTCGGTTAATGAGAAGCTGCAAAATATAGGGAAATGTGAGTCAACATCATGGCTTAGGATCTTATATATATTCCTATATCTTGTCTCCATCTTTTGTACCAATTTTTCTTAGTTTAAATCTGTCACGTGTCTATAATTAAATCTCAACCCTTGGTGAAACTATCACAATCCCTCTCTCTCTATACTCATCTGGTGAACTCATTCCATTCCTCGACTTCCAATGTCGTTCTTGGTGAACTGCCATCAATTTCATCCCATCTTAAATCTCATCCCCAGTGGAAAAACAATCTCCAAGAATCACAAGTAAAGCAGTCAAATCAAGAATTTGAAAAACCAATTGATCATAAATAATTCAAGTATATAAGTATCAGATTGAACAAAAATATAAAATCAATCATTATTGAGTACCAAATAAGTACTCTCTTATTTTGATTTGGTTACTCAAGCCCAATGAATACAAATGAAATTTTCTTTTTTCGTCACCAAACGCAATCTAGTAGTTTAGATGTTGTGAGGTTGTGTAAATGTTTTGGTTCAAGGGTAGTTAGACAAAGACAATGCAAGCAGAAAATGGAGGACTTAGGGAAGCGACGGTAAAGGGATATAATGCTGGTGTAAGGCAAGATGAAGGTTTGGTTGGTTGGTTGGTGTGGTGGCGACGGGTCATGCACAGTTCGTCGATGGCTACTTGGAGAAGCCGAAGATGGAGTCTATTCGCATTACAAGAAATTACATTTTTAGCGGAAACTTTCGTCGATGAAGTATATTTTTCGTAGCCAAAAGTGCACTTTCTGCGACACAAGAATCATTTTCGTTGGTAAAGGTAGGCTTTTAGCAACGTAATTCTCAATCTTTCGCTATAGATTGAAAATATTAATGAGGCGCCAAGGGACAATGTTCCCTCCAAAAATGAAAAAGTTTTAGTGATGACCATGTTTTTTTGGCAACGAAATATGTGTCGCTGTTAGTCACTTTGTTTTGGCAACGAAATCTTTTCGTTGGCAAAGATTTTTATTTTTAGCGACAAACATATTTTCATGGTCGAAAGTTTGCAACTTGTTTCATTATACGGTATTTATAAAAAACATCTGACAGTTGTTTTTAATAAAAAAATGAACCAAAATCTCTCACGTTTGTATCCCATTCTCTTTCTCTCTGTAAGCAAACAACCCATCTTCTCTACCGCTGGATTGCTCTGTTTTTTCCCTTTTACAACAAACTCGAATCTGGGTGTCAAACTCTAGTTGTCTCTCTCTCTCTCTCTCTCTCTCTCTCTCTCTCACACACACATACACACACACACACACAAAATCGCACACCCACCCGATTGCCTCTTTATCTCTCTTTCTTTCTCTCACCCAATCGCACAAGTGCACCGTTGCAGATCGCAGTTTCTGTTGCGAACTGATTGCCATTGCTGCCTTTCACCGATTGCCTACTTTCATTGTAAGTCCTCGATCTCATTCTCGCTATGTTTCTGGTCTTTCTCTCTCTCAATTTCTAAACCCTATTATTGTTTTTTTTTTTTTTGTAATTAGTTTAGGAGGTATCGTGAAGTATCTAAAAGCGAGGACCTTGTTCAAACGACAACGACGTTGATCTAGGTTAAATCAGATGTATGAATTGTTCAGTGAACTTGGTATTCATCTCCGAGTCAACTTGATGGGGTGAGTGACTCACTGTAGAATACACAATCTCTATGCCCTTTGAAGTTTTAGGTAAAAAGCTCGAGTCTTTGTACATTGGATCAGAATTGGGATTTATCTTCGATTTAATTTGATCAATTCAAATTTCAGATTTATAATATTGTTAAAAATAATAAATTCAGTCAAAGTTAATTTAGAGTGTGATGTATGAAATTAAGTTCTAGACCCTATAAGCCCTTTGCTATTTTAATATGTTGGCTGGCGGTTACCAGAAATAAATTCTGAACTTGGTTTTTATTTTGAGAAGAAACACAATTTGATTTCTTTTTTTAAAAAAAATTAGGCTTCTTTTGGTTATGTTTATATACATGTGCATATATTTATTAAAATCTATGATACACAACCCTAAAATAGGAAAAATCCTAAGAAATTGATTAATATTTGTGATGAAAGTTAAGAATGGTTGTGGTGTGTTATGTGAATTTGTAATAGAAGTTACGAATGATGAATTTATAGTGTGTAGTAAAGTTAAAGTTATACTTTTTATGGTGCTGAAAATAATGATTTTTATGATTTACTTTACAAAAGGTTATGGTGGTGTTATGAAGGGCACACAATATGCATCATTTTAGGAATGCAAATAGTAGTATCTCTAAATATGTCTATATATATATATATATCCAAGAATTGATTCTTTCTTCTTTATAATTTGTTTTTATAATTTTTTTTTTGGGTGGTATTTTCCAATTTACGTAATTGGTTACTAGTTTTGACATATCAATTGTCATATGAAAAACCACTTTATCTATCATCTTAAGGAGATTGTGAACCTATCTATGTTGTTGTAGAATTCTTTGATGTTGTCTGTTTTTAGGAGCCTTATTTACTAGGATTTTCTTTTCTTTCTTTTTAATTCTGTGTTGGTGGAACATTCACAATTTGTTTGGGCATGTTTTCTACACTTTTTTATCTCATCTTTCCCATTGATGGATAGGGTGGTGTTATCTACGTTAATAAATATTTCTTTGATGATAAAAAAAAATTAAAAAACCACTTTGACATTGTTACTTCACTAGTTTTCATTTGTGACCTTGCTATGAGCCTATAAGAGTATACACGAATGACATAAAGATTTTTTTGTAGGAGCTATTTCCTTTAATTTATGTTCTTGAATGGTAATCCTTGATTATCATAACTTAGTTTTTTGGTTGCATTAACATTGCATCTTGTCCTGTTGGGCTTCATTGGTACCTAGTTATTTTGGATAGATTGGTTTTATGAATGATTTGATTCATGAAGATTGGGAATGGTATCACTACCTACCTTTGGCATGATAACTGGCATCCTTTAGGTACCCTTATTCTCAAATATAAGGATAGGATTGTGTTTGACCCTGGTTTAGAATCACAGGCTATTGTTTCTACTATCATTAGGGATCGGAATTGGCAGTGGCCCAATGCTCAAACTTGTGAGCTTATTGAGATTAGGAATTTTGTTATTGGTGACATGGTTCCCTCTGACTATAAGGATCAATCTGTTTGGACCCTTTCACCTAATGGTATTTCATCTGTTCAGTCTGATTGGGATTTGCTTAAAGTTCATAGACCTAGAGTGACCTAGCATAAGCTTATTTGGTTTAAGTTTCATATTCCTAGAGTGAGTACTGTGGTTTGGTTGTCTATTCCGAGTAGGTTGAATACCCTTGATAGGTTAGCTGTTTATTGGATTAGAAGTTCTACTTAATGTGTTTTGTGTAATCATCAGGATGAGGATCATGATCACCTCTTTTTCAGTTGCAACTATTCATTGAGTGTGTTGGGCCCTTTGTTAGCTAAGTGTAACACATCTTGGCCTATCTTGAACTAGAGTAATCTGGTGGACTAGTTGTCTAAACAGTTTTCTGGTCATTCTTTGGCTACCACTGTTAAGAGACTGGTGTTTACCTGCACTGTTTACTGTATTTGGCAAGAGAGAAATGTTAGGATTTTCTCATCTGGTTGCTCTCTTGCTACTGTTATTGTGAAAAAGTTGAATCTCTTGTGAGATTTAGGTTGTTGTCTGTGAACAAGTTTAAGGAGCATAGTGCCAATGATTGGTTTTTGAATTCATGATAACTCCCTCCTTCTGTGTTAAGGCTTCATGTTCCTTGATTTGCTTGTCATTTCTCTCAGATTTCTAATACTTCCTACTATTTTTAGCTTCCCTCTTGCAGGTCTCCTGGATTATCCTTGGAGCAGCACCATATTTCCTCTCTGTTTTACTTTGCAGGTTGAGCTGGTACTAACTTAGGGATGTTGTAAGTTGAGTGTTGTGAGCTAAAACAGTTAGGGTAGTGTAAGAGTGTCTTTGAGAGTGGAGTGTGGTAAGCATTGAGGGTTGAGTGCATGGTGAGCTTATATATGAGGGTTAAGTGATGTGAGCTCATAAATCTTTTACATATCTATGTGCTAATTTTTGTGCAAGTTGTCAAGCTAGTTTAATAGTAGGGAGGAAGGTTGAGCTTGGTGAGGATCTATACATAGGTTCTCTTCTTCTGAGGTATAAGTGTTGTAAGCCAGATTTTTCTAACTGTTTTTTATGCAGATTGTCAAGCTGGCACTTATGTGAAGGAAATCTTTGTTGAGGGTTGAGTGAATTTACTACATATACTACTTGTAGTGTTGAGAGTTGTTTGAAAGTTGAGATTTTTTTTGAATTGTTTGTCTGTTGTTTTCTGCCTGTTTGTCTCATATTTGCTGTTGCTTTGTTTCTGTTATTGTCTCTATTTGACTGAGAAGTTTGTTCATGCTGCACCTGTTGTGTTCAACCTCCCTTCCCCCCATAGTGTTGGTATGTGGTGTTTGAGTAAACCTTTCATGTGCAATGTGTTCATATTTCTGGGTGAGAAGTGATTGGTTTATTTAGCCTATTTGTTGTGCTGTTTATTGTTCTATTTGTTGTGTTGTTTGTTGTCCATTCCCCTCATATTTCTGTCCAGTTTGATGTGCTGCCTCTGTTCTGCTGTGCTGGTCTTGCCTGTTGCTATATTAGTGTTGCTATGTTGGCCTGCTGCAGAGCTACTGGGTGCTAAGTGTCACTGTGTTTAGCATGTTGTGCTATTGAAATCTCTTTTGTCATATTGGTAGCTCAAGATGCTACTAGTTCATGGTTTTGGTTTTTTTTTTTGATGTTTTCCTGTTTTTGTTGTTCTGTAGTTTAGTGTGTTGGCCGAGATGGTCATTTTGTTCTAGTTTTGTTGAGGTATGGATGCTTTTGTTGTTTTTAGTTTGTTGAGTCTTCCTGAGGAATGCCTCTTGTATATCTATACATTCTTCTGTCTTAATTTATAACTTACTTACCTAAAAAAAAGAAGTTTTCTGTTATATCAATTTGAGTAGTTTGATGGAACATTGAGCTTTTTAATAGAGTTTATCTTTTGTGAACTAATCATTTCTTTTTTTGGTAATGAGGTTATCCAAGGTATATCCCTGCCCTAACACTCTTAACACATTACACCAAAACTTAGCAGCACGTGATCTACAAACTGACCAGAGCAGTTTATAAAAGTAACAATTATCAACAATTCGATGTGACACTATCTTTCTCCTTACTAATAGTTCGCAAGTAGTGATTATATTTTTTTTGCATTGTGAACCAATAGAAAACTTGGAACTCATAACCAAATGATATATTCTGCTCATGGGGGCTACAGAAAATAAATCATCATTTGCATAACTCCATGACATTTTTTCATGAGTTTGATTGTTGCCCTTAAAGCCATCTAATGATCTTATAATTTCTCCTCCTCTTTTTCCTATAGATAAAGTTCTCTATTATTACTTAACTTCTATCCAATGCTCTCTCTCCTTTAATGGCCACAATATTAAATATAACCTCTCTATCCAATGCTCTCTCTCCTTTAATGGCCACAATATTAAATATAACCTCTCTTCTTCTTTTTTTTTTCCTTTTTTTTTCTTTTTTGTGACTAGGCTAAGCTACTTTTAATGACAAATTGCCTACCCATTTCAAAATTTGTCCCAATACCAACAATTAATTTAAACCTCTGTTTTATCATATTACTAAATATTGTCTCACCCCCTACCAATGATATAATATCATACCAATCCTTGATACCTTCTTTGAATTAAATGTCTTAGGCAGCCATGAATTTCGCTCCACATTGTATTTTTCACACACAACTTTTCTTTATAGCGCAGGCATAATTTATAATTTTTAAGTGATCTAATACCCATCTCACCAAAATCTCTTGATTTAGTCACATTGTCCCATTTAATCAGCCTAAGCTTTCTTTAATCCTCCTTGTCTCTCATGTGTAAGAAGTTACACTGAAATTTCTCCAATTCATTAGCCACACATAAGGAATCTTAAATACAGACATAAAGTAAACTAGTAAATTACCAAGTGTGGACAGGATTAATATCATCCTAGTTAAACTCATAATGTAAGTTTAAATTTTCTTTATTGATAATATTAATAATAAGAACTTGCTTTTCTTTTGCCTTCTTAAATGTAGGTTGTTGAAGATAGATATTATGATCTTGCTCGAGTGCTGCGTGGATATGAGCAATGTTTTAAAAACAGGACCGGTGAGCATTGGATGGACGGGTCACCGGTTCAACCGTCGGGTTGAACCGGAATCGAACCGTGACGTAATAAATATATTAAAATTATATTTAAATAAAAATATAAGTAATAAAATTATAAATTAAAAATATTAAATTATCTTAAATATTTGTCCTAATATTTTTTTTACTGAAAAATATAATAATATATTTTAAAATATTATTAATTTCAATCAAATATTTAATATTCCTTCCATATGATTTTAATTCAAATAATTTGATTGAAAGGAGAGCAAAAATTTTGGAGGAATATCTAAATTTCAATATTCCCTTCAATATATTCAAAATAGGTGAAGACTTTTACAATAATTTCATCAAGCTCTTAATGAGATTCCTCACAAGAAGAGACCCTTGAAAAAGAGTTTCAAATTAAAATTTTCTTATATTCTTATATTATATTATATTTTATATATATATATATATATAGATATATAAAATAAGAAAGAAAGAAAGAAAGAAAGAAAGAAAATCAAAAAAAAAAGAAAGAAAAAAAAAATTATGAGTCGGACAACTCAGCGAACCGGCTCCAGGTTGACCGGTACAACCGCCAGTTTTTTCGGTTCTCACTAAATATGTTGGTTTTCAGTTTTGGCCCGTCAAATCGGCCGATCCGGTCCGATTTTCAAAACTTTGGATATGAGTAGAAGGCTTATTCACTTGCATATTCAATTGCATTAATCTTAGAATTGCATATTGTCATTGGTTATGCAACAATCGCAGCATCTCCATCTCTAGGTTATTGTTCAAATTGGGATTGACTTAATTTTGTTTATTTTTTTTACTTAGTTTCACTTTTAAGTATTGTTTTGTATAAACTTAAATTTTGAATTGTAAGAACATGTGTAGGTATAAATAGAAATATATATATTTGGATGTTAAAAAATTGATGTATGTGAATTGTCGAATTGATGTGTGTGAATATTATTTATTGCTTAAGCAATGAATAATTTATTATTGAAAAGTAATTTGTTATTTATGATGGTAGTTTTGGCCATCCCAAATACCAAATTATTATTATTTTTAAAACAATTAGATGTTTTACCAACACAACTATTTGTCACTGAAATTCTACTTTCCCTGATGGGTATTGCATCGCCAAAAGTCTCATTTTTTGCTAATGCAATTTGGGTTGGCAAAAGTGCCACATAATCATCTTATTTGAGCCATTTTTGCTGACGCAAGCTAAAATGGCAACGATTGATGAAGGCTTTTGCCGACTAAGGTATTTGTCACTAAAGGCATCACTTTTATCGACGTAATCATATTTCGTTGCCAAAGTTTTTCCCCACGCACCTTTGCCGACGGGTTGCCAATGGAACTTTATGGGTCGGCAAAACTCTTTGCCGACGATATGTGCCTTTTGCCAGCACATTTTGTTGTGTGGGCAAAACAGCTTTTTGTTGTAGTGATATCTAGAGAGAGAGAGTATTCACTTTAATGACTGTGATTTAACTATAGACACATAGCAGATTAAGAGAAATTGGTATAAAAGATGGGAAAAGGGTACAGGGACAGAGGATTCCAAACCCAACAAGGCTTACTTATCCGAAATGATTGTTATGTTTGAGTGTATTGAAAAACACACTGTTTGATTTTATTTTCAAAAATTGTTTTTCAATAATTTTTCATTTATGTTTAGTAAACTTATATATATACATATATTGTCATTTTTAATTGCACCTAATATAGATTCATTTAAAAAGTAAAATAAATTTACTAAAATATTTTTAAAAAATCATTAAAAACAAATGCAAATACGAATAAAAACTTGTGTGCAAATTTGTTTGGATTTTCGTTTGTTTTTAGTAAGTTTTTTTTCATATTTAATTAATTTTTTATTTTTAAATGCATCAAAAGTATTAAAAAAATTGATTAAAATATAAAAAAAAATAAATTAATAAAGATAAACAAAAACCTATTTAAAAATAACTTCTAAGAATATAAACCAAACGGAGCCTTATTTTGCCACAATGCCATCGCAAATTTATCAAATATTGACCTTACAACAATGACCATTCATTGATTCATATATCCACAACTCGAACCAAATTTTGTTTTCATCATACCATAACAAATTGATCAAAATGTTTGACATGTAATGGACCTTATATCTACCACCATTGATTTACATCCTATTGGTTACCAACTTGGTTAATGTACATTTCAAATCTTTAACTACAATAAGCAACCCAACTAACACCAACCTTGAATCATCAAAATGTAGTCATGCGTTATCCAAACCTTTCTCACTGATTGAGCTCAGCCTTGGCTTGGGCCTTTGGGACATTAATTTGGTGAAGTTTCTAGTAACCACATTCCACATGCTTCTTAAAGTTTCATTTGTATTTTCTTCTAATAGATTGACAAAGTCCTTCAACAACTTCTAATAAAGGTGAGTTTGCAAGAAAACATATCTTGACTTGTGTAAATTATATATATATATATATATATATTCTTAAAAAAAAAAAGAAGAAAATATTCTAATAAGAAGAGAAAAATAAAGAAAAAGAAAGAAGAAGTAAAAACCAGTACATCAAGGTCTTGTTTGGTGTAGTTTTTGACAAATTGATAATTGATTAATTGATAGTTCAATTATTTTTTTTTTTAAAAAAAAAAAAAAAACATAGAGTAAACTATCCTAAAAATATTTATTCAAAAAAAAAAAAGTGAAAAAAATGCCTTTGCATAATTGCCTGTGTAACTAATTTGGGAGGCTATTTAATGACTGAATCTTAACTATTTTTGAGGTTGATTAATGATTTGCATGGTAGAAAAGTTAGTTGAATAGGATGCATGGATTATGCAAATGCCCCCCAAATGACACATTTATGATGTATTCAATTTTTTTATTTGTGCAAAGAAATGTGAACGGGAAGAGAGAGAAAAAAAATCAATAAAAATTAATTTTTTTCATAAATCTAATTATTTTATTTTTTTTACAAATGCCCCCCAGGCCATGGACCTTCCCTTTTATAGCACAGCCACAACCATCAATATCTTTGTTTGCAAAAAGCCCAAAGTTGTGTTACTTAGATTTGTGCAGGGATTTATATATATAGTAGGAAAAGTATCAGAAGGAAAAACTAAAATATATATATATATAAGCTGCTGATTAAAGCCAATTGAAGACTATGGGCCATGTAGACATACCTCTAGAAACTCCCAGACAGCCCTCTGAAACCTTGTTGGAAGGTTGAGCCCTCTTGGGCTTTAAAACATTTTTGCTTCTTTAAAATAAATTATAAGACGTATGTTTTAGACGATAATAGTGTCCATCATAAACTAGAGGCGCTCTGAAACTCAACCATCAGAATTGCCTAAATCAAAAAAGTCGAGGTCATCTTCTGCAACGACCTCGGGGTCTAAGAAACCTGCTGTCCCCTGAGACCCCGAAATTACCTTGGAAGATAAGCCAGTCATGGCCAACGACAGCGCCAATGATATCAATGTTGGCGTTGCGCTTAGTACTGCTCTGCTTCTTCCAAGTGATCTGGAGCGAAACGCCGGGTTCAGCGAGTATGAGAACTATGTCTTGATGCTTCAGCGTTCCGTTCAAGTAAGTGTCTTTCATCTGGCTTTTTCCTTCTTTTTCATACTTAGGAATTTTCTAATAACTTTCGTTTTGTTCACTTTCAAGCCATTCAGCATGCTCATTCCTTTTCAATTCAGTCTTTTGAAAACCGAGAGAAGTTGGCCGAGATGAAGAAGGAGTTCTCTTCTCTTCACTTCAAAAGACCAATCAAGGCTTATAATCAAAAATGAAGAAGCTGGAAGACCAAGCCGAGGCTGCAATCAAAGCCCAAACTGAAGCCGAAGAGAAGGCTAAATCTTCTGAAGCCATCAGAAAGGTTGCTGAGTCCCAAAGAAAAGAGGTTGAGGAGAAGATGGCTTAAACCGAAAAAGAGCTTCAAGAAGCCTTGGCCACCAAAGAGGCTGAAATCAAAGACGCCGATGAAAAGGCGTACGCCCAGGGCATGGCCGATGTCATTGAGGCTTATGAAAAACAGGTGAAGAAGGCATGCAACAAGGGTTTTACCCTTGGTTGGATGTCTCTTCTGAAAAAGCTCAACGTTCCTGAGGACTCGCCC